TTATGGAAACGTTGAACGGAGCAGATGATTGGCCTTGATCGATCATGACGAAAACTGATATCCACTCTTATGAAAGAAGAAAGTTGTGGGAGTGGACTGGAGTTGTTTTTTGCATCCATTCTTATTAATCAACACTGGATAATTAAATAAAAAGCTAATAAAGAAGTAAAACAAGAGAATACTCGGTAGAAAGAGAAGAAAAGGTAGATAAGCGGAAGTGCGCAAGAATTAATGAGAAACTTGGGTGGTTAATCGATTTCAAGCAAAATTCCAACCGTTGCTACAGTGTTCTGCCTACAATATTTGACTTTGTTGTGTCATAGTGGGTCCACAATTTTGAAAAAGAAAGGGTCCAAAAATCCACTATGTTATTTTATTTATGTCTAATTTAGTAAATAAAAAAAAATTAAATTTCTGATGTGACAAAAATTTATTGTGGTGGTAATATAGTCACCCTTAAATGAATAGTGTTACGCAAACTTTGGTGCAACATTATTCATTGCATCAAATTGTTGCACAGAGTTTTTCGAATGATTGGGGATTAAGCTTGGTAAGTAATTTTGAAACTTGAAAATAATAATTTTTATCTCGCACTCATCAATACTCTATAAACAAAAATCTAGTCCATTTTTAGGAATTCCGAAATCAATTCCAAAAATTATAGTAGCTACATTTTCGACAATAGCAATTATAGCATACCTTGGACTGGATCTTCCGTGTGGTGGGAATGATGATGGGTACATACTTCCCGGAGCTGGAAACTTTCCAATTCACCTTTAGAATAGTAGTTGAAAACCTCATTTTCCATTATCTCCGCAATGCATAACTTTTCGGTGAAATTTCAGAGGAGGGTAAAAAGAAAAGAAAGCAAAATATACTATGCCATTTCCATGTGCTTCAATTATCATTCCACAAATCAAATTCTTACATTTTCATAACAAATCCTTCCATATAATTTGTAATTTATCCGTGATATGATGTATTTTTATATTTTCATTTTTAAGAATTGACAATTTAAGGTTAAAAATGTAGAAGAATTGGGATAAATTTCAACCGCGGTAGCGTAATTTTGTCTCAGTTGGATCAATGACCTTTAATCTAGTTTTAAATTTCACGAATTTGTTACTTTCCGTCACCTATTGCTTTCCAAACCGTCAAAAATTACTTAATTATTATAGTCATACCATAATTGATTTTACTCATAATAGCTAGGGCTGTAAATGAATCGGATATGAATCGGATCTGTCTATATCTGATCCGATTAGATAAGAAAATTTATCCGATCCGATAATCCAACGGATATTTAATTGCTAAATCCATATCCGATTTGTAATGTTATCGAATATTCGATCCGAAATTAATAAAAATTAGGGAAAATTTTTTGAACTAACTTGAGGCTCACCTATTTTTCCTAACAAGCTCAATGGTGACTTCTACCATCATGATGTTCCTTTTTAAAGAAGAGACTCTCTTTTAATTTTCTATTGACATTCGATATGGGATAAGGTAAAATTGAATTTCAATTCTAAATAGAAATATTTTATTTCATTATTTTCATTAACAAATCAAATTATTTGTTACATATTAATTATTAGTTTTTGAAATTATAACATTAATTAAAATAATAAATTTAATTAAGAAAAAATATAGATATTTATTTACTTTAAATTAGTAAACTAAAATTAGAAAAACATCGGTTGAAATCAACCTTTTTTTTTTTAATTTTCTAATTCTTAAACAAGTTTAATAATTATAAATTTTTAAAACTTTTTTATGTTTTGAATTTGATTATTTTTTATTCTAATTTTATTTATTTTCTCATTTATTTATTTTAGTGACAATAATATGACATAAAAATATTTTATCAACTCAATTATTATAACAAATCGGATCGGATTGACCTACATCCATATTTGATTCATTTAGTTAACGGATTATCGGATTCGGATCTTGATCAGATTATCGACTGAGACCCTAAATCAATCTCCCATTAATTTCGTCGGATTCGAATCAAAATCCAATCCATTGACAGCCCTAATAATAGATATGTAATACCCTAGAGACGAAAATGGTAAAATACAAGATACGACAATATCTTTAAATTAAAACATTAAAATGCAATTTATTTATTTTTAAATTTTTAACACTGTTATTATGTGGAGTAGTGATAAAGTAGCATGTCACATAGTGATCACATGAATATCTCGTTGTAGTATGGCTACCAATTAGTAATTTCCATCCATTTTGAAAATTTGTGTAACTACTTGGGGTACCAAACTCGTACATTCTCCTATCACACAATATTCCATCACTCAAACAAGTAACGTTTTACTAGGATTCCTGCAAGTAATTTAAGCTTCAACGATGAAATCTAAAATTTTGTAATGTAAGATGGAGCTTGTTTGGAAGGAATTAAAATCAGATTAAAATTGAAAATATAGCTGTTGGAGTTGACTTTTATTAGATGAGTGAGACCCAATAACCGCTATATTTTCAATTTTAATTGGATTTTAATCCTTCCCAAACAAGTTCGTACTGTGCATGAATAAGTTCGAGCAATGATAGAAAGTAATTTGATTCATCACATCCATTATATACCATAGTCATTGTGATAGATGCTCTTCCGGCTTTAGGGCGAAAGTCAATGGTGTCATGATTGATAAGAACAACAAATTCATTGTTCAAGAAAATATATTAAAACGTAAAAGGCCTTGCAATCCGAGATGTCCATCTTAAAAAGTGTCTTTCGAAGTAAACACTTTTTTGTTACTATAAAGGTGTGATTAATGTTCTTGCTTTTTCAAAAAGGAGAATAGGAACGAAAGAGTGTCTCTCAAAGTTAGAAAAATAAAGTATTATTGTAGTTAAAAAGGATGAAAGAACGTCAAAGTTCCTATGTTTTAGGAAATAAATTTGCACATTGGTTCATTGTTTGCCTTTTTACCACTCAAAGTTTGATAAAAACTAAAGCAAAGGATCGAACAATAGTTTGCCGCTTTAACCAAATAGAGGCTATAGTAGGAGTTGTTCTTTCGCTTTTCTCGTTTTTTTAGTTAAGGATAATATGACAATAACGATATTTAAGAACTGCTCCGAGAAAATCACTATTTTAGAGAGCATATTCTACAATTTAAAGAGTATATATAAATTTAGAAAGTAAAAAGTTTTAAATTCTTCAACAACCTTTTTATATTTAACACTTAATTTTACTACTCCTAAAAAATATTTATTGTTTTTTTCAATTTTTAATTTTCACTAGCTTCCCTTCAAATTATTATATTATTTTCCTCCATTAAAAATTGAAATAGTTTGATGTATTTAATTATAGAGAACGAATTTGACTTTTCTCACTCTCTAAATTAAAATGTTAATTTAAAAAGTGTAATGGAACACAATTTTAAAAGTTGACTCTTTAAAATAAAGAGCATATTATGTGCTTGTCTGGCAACAATTTTTCCCCAAGTTAAAAGCAATTTTTGGACCGTTGCTGAGTTGAAGTGTGAAAGAAAGGTCAAAAATTGCGGCTAGCAACGGTAAGAAAATGGATTAAAATTTAGAGAAAAAGCAGAAACAAACAGGGCCTATATTTAAAAAGTCTCTTATGGACGATCTAAGTGTTGCTTTGGAGGATACATCAACTCGAAAAACACGTAGGATGAAAAAACCAATAAAAAGGGCAGTTAGACAAAAATGTCGACCAATGAGACCTAAAGACCATAAAATAAAAATATAGAAGTATGACCTAGAAACTATTTGGTCTTCAGTCGTTTCCTACTTGTTCGGACAAGATTGAATTTTTCGTTTCAGATGGTTAAGATGATCGATCAGATACTCAATCCATATTGTGTTGTCACAAAACTATACCAAATCAAAGAAGAATTCCAAATCAACTCTGTTTCATGAGTAATTAAGACGACTTTAGTCGATGATCCAGAAAAAAAGGTTCAAGAATAACATATGCTCGAGCCAGAGCCGTAACCACATCATGTAAATTTCGATTCACTCACTTTGCACATATGAAATAGAACGGTTAGAAGTGGCAAAGGTAATAAGCCCAAACTATCAAAATAGTCCAACCTCCTGCCCTTATTGTGCTTCCAACTACTGCCCCTACATTAGTAAAGTTTAAAAGCAGCAGCTAGCTTTATAGACTCCACCAGAAGTGCGTAGCGAGGTACGTGCCGATTTCCTATTAGCTTGTGTAACTCATGTCTTGGGTTTCTCACTAAGACTAATGAGCTCTAAAATGAGACTTGGGGAGCGCTTCTGCCCTTACTGTACTGTGCGTCCATCTACCGCCCACTTCATTAGTATAGGTTTAAAGCAGCAGCTAGCTTTATTGACTCCACAAAGACCTCTAAAATAAATGAAATCGAGGAATCGAAGCGAGCTTAGCAAGCCATGGTGGCATCAGTGCGAGGGCAATAAGTACGGGGTGCCATATATTTCTGGATGGATTGGAACGAAGGGATGAAGAAGGGAAAGCACCAAATTGAGGCGAGTTTCCTATCCTATGGGGCTGGCCTCCGACCATAAAAGAAGGGACTGGACTCAGGTGGGCAAGGCAGGATCCCAAGCCATTTCTCCCATGAGACCAAAATCATTAGTTTGCTCAGTCTACACAGGCAACCAGTTCGGCAAGACATGCTCATCCAGCAATGTACATGTCAAGCTCGCTACGGCGTTTAAAATTACTCATGTTAAAATCCAGCAGAACCAACCAAATCCCAGATTGAAATACAAATCGAGGAGGCAACTCCTGGTTTTCAGTGGAATCGACAATATTGAAGAAAGTGGTAAAAAGAAAAAGAAGTCAGAATTCTTCTCGACTCTACTATTGAGTATTTGATACCAAATATGCTGTTAATGTGTCATACATGAACCCAGAATGATCAACAAAAATACTAAATTAACATCCTAATTGATATCATTCTACACTGCCTGATTATAAAAATGAAACTACAGAATCCAATATGATGACTGTGAAATTTTCAACCCCCTCAAAATGGCAAGCTCTTAGAAGTTGGACTCGATGATAGGGACTTGAAATGGTCAGAAGGAACAAAATCATGAGGCAAATTAGCCCTCTCCACCATCCTTTCCATGTTGTTTTGCAAACTCTTTTGAACTAGTTGCTTCACTGCATTCCTCTCTTGACTAATCATGTCGTCGTCTTCCTCCAATGGCTCCTTTAATTGATTACTCGTCCTGCAAAGAGGAGCTGACAATCCGCCGCCTCCACAGTTTCCCGATACTTGATTCCCTTTATCCACCCGTAAACACTCCAATATCCTCGAAGCCCTTTTTTGTGCTAATGTGCTTCCCAAAAGTGTTAATTCAAGCAAGGATGAAACAATTCCGGCCTCAATCATGACCTGCCTATCTCCATACGACTTGTGTGCCATAACCATTAGAATGTAGGATGCTTTCTCTTGGCACCCCGGAGAATCCGTCCAATTCAACACATCAATTATAGTCGGAAATGCATCCGGCACATTGCTGATCGCCTTCCTGCCCTCACCTATAGCTACCACATTGCTAAGAATAGAGAGGATCCTCTCACTTACATCCATATCCCCTAGCTTGCTCAACATATATGGTATCAAATCGGTCTCTAATATTGGGAACAAATTTGTAGTCTCGATTGAAAGATTGTAAAGTGCTCGCAATGAGTCATGTTTAGCTTGATAACTACTCGTTCCATCAAAATCTTTTAGTGTTTTCACTAAATATGGAATTACACCTGAAGAACCTATAATTGGTTTATTGGAATCCAAAGCACTCAAGCCAAGATAATTCGCAACAACCGCTTCGGCAACTGCCCGATTAGTCGAATCGTTTGGAGATTGGATGAGCTTTAGCATTTTATGTAAAGCCCCTGCTCTGACAATGGCGTCTTTATTTCTGAGGGAGGAAAAGAGATTGGTGTAAAATTTGAATCAACATCCACATCAAGAAATTGGAGTCAAACAGTTGATAAACGTAATTAAAGAGTAAAAGGGAACTGACACATCATTTGCAATGGCAAGATTCAGCAAAGCATAGAGAGCGGCGATCTGAGAATTAGAGGTAGGATCCTCAGCGTCCAGCAAAGCCACAAGGGGCGGAATGACGCCGAGAAGAGCTAGAGTAGTTCTGGCTTGAGAATCCTCCTTTGCGAGCCTCCTCACCTCCGTCGTACCCTCCAGAACCAACTCCAAGCTGCTTTGCTGCTGTAGCTTCTTAGCCACTCTCTTCAGCTCTTCCAGCGTCTCCTCTTTCCTCCTAACTTCCTCATCCTTCTCCTCATTCTCCCAGCACTCGGGTTCCTTCAAAAGCTCCGACAATTTGTCGGATCTGGGCTGCTGCTTCAAATTGATTTTTCTTTTTGACTCAGAATTCTTCTTTGGCCTTTTGCCGCCGCCGCCACAGCTCACGGTGTCTATGATCTTTGACCAAAGCTTGAAAGGTTGGTCCAAAAGCACCGATCCGACGTCATTGCTTCCATCGAACTTGTCCATTGTTCTCCAAGCCATAAATGCATTCTCCAACTCCACAAACTGCGCCCTTGTTCTTTGGGAAAATTCAGCAACCGATCAAATACAAACAAAATAGAGTAAAGAAGTAATGGGATTTTAATACAGAGTAATCTGTACTTGGGAAGAGGACAGTAGGAGTAGGTTCCAGTACTATGTGAAAAGAAGATAATGGAATTGAGTATTTGTTAAATCCAATGCAGAGGAAAATGAGAAGAAAAGAAAAGGCAGAATTTCCTCAGTGCAGAGTCTGTCATGAAGCGTGCGGTGGAATGGAAGTGGTGCCTTATTAGTAGACTAGTGCTACATGTGCTCAATTATGAGCCCGTTTGGTATCGATTAAAATTCAATTAAAATTGAAAATATAGCCCATTTGGTTAACATTTTTTGGAGGAAATTTGTGAGTGTAAATATTACTATTTGAAAAAGTGTATAAAGAAAAGTATATGAAAAAGTAAATGTTGCAAGATTGTTACAAGTACAAGGGCAAATTACATGACATCTCGAAAACTAATGTTCTAAAAAGTGTAAAATGGAGTTCGGAATGGACTTCAACCTTTACGAGTTTACGTGAAACCTAAACGTAAAATATGCTTTTTTATTTCAGTATTATTTGAAGTCTTTATTTGATAGAAATTAAAGTCAAATCTTTAACAAATTTTAATAAAAGTTAATAACACCTATTAGATAGCAGAAAATGTCTCTGTTTTGAAACTTTATATACGAAATACAACATTTTAGGTGTGAACAGCCATCTATCGTCCAATTCTATTAGTTTAACCATTAATAACAATAAAAATTACCAAAATAAAAAAGAAATAATTGCAATTGTGATACCAAACTTTTTATTTTTTGTGTAAATTACACCAAATTCTTTTATTCGTACCACTTACAATCTAAAACCTCTCTAACTTTGTTTTTCTTACCCACCCACCACACCCCGAAATTAAAAACCTAGAAATTTCTTCCCCCACTATTCTAGATTTACGCAGACGCACGGAGAAGTTCATAAACTCTATCCCCGCTAGGGTAATGCTACATGTACACACACACTTTTACACAATCTTTTACACCTCTCTCACATGAAGGGGGGTCCACGATTATTTTATTATGTATGGGCCCCCCTCCATGTGAGGTGGGTGTAAAAAATTGTGTAAAAGATTGTGTACACTTAGCATTATTCATCCCCGCTATTCCTTTCCACCATTTTTTCGACAAGTTACCAAAATGGGCAGTTTCAATTTGGTCAGTGTGAATCTTTGATACTTAATTGGTCTTTTTTGGATCATTTCCAGCGAGGTCGGAAATGGGATTTTGAGAATTATTATAAGGGTTTTAATTGGGATTTCGAGACCTTTGAACTTTTTTGTGTTTTCTGAGAGAGGATTGTTGTTGGGTTTTGGATGACACGTGTTTTTTTTATCAAGAANCACTTTGGGGCGATTTTTCGGACAATTCCGATGGGATCATAGCCAGTGATTGGATGGTTTTGAAGAGGGAATTGAGGGCTTCAATATGGTATATTGGTCCATGGAAAAAGGTGGTAGGAGGACGGAGTTATGATGGTCCAAAATTGGCACCTCCAAGCTGTCCAAAATTCGAGTAGCTCACTTTTGCTCGATTTTCCGGCCAATTACGACGGGATAAAGGCATCTGGTTGGGTGGGTTGTTAAGAGGGCATTGAGGACTTCAATTTGGTATGTTGGTTCGTGGCAAAAGGTGGCTGGAGGACGGAGTTATGGTGGTCCAAGGTTGGCACCTCAAAACTGTCCAAAATTCGAGTTAGCTCACTTTAGTCCTTTATGTTTGAGCTAAGGGCATAACGGTCCTCCAGTGACCGTTTGTGAAAGAAACTTAAACTTCAGTAACTATTTGTGAAAGTGCATGAAATTTCAGTGACCGTTTCTGCAAGTTTTGAATTTCAGTGACAGTTTTGTTATTTTTGCGTAAGTTCAGTGATCATTTGTGAAATTAACCCATAGTAGGGAGATGGGTGGACGTGTGATTTTCTACTATTTCCAATAGATTGTATTCTGCACATCAAGTTTTCTACTATCAAGTCATATAATCGGGAACAAACACGGTGTAATAAATTTTCATTCTCATTTTCAACTATACATTTTTCAATATCAATAATTTTTTCTTCTTTTTCAACCACACAACCTCCATCAATCTACTATTCCAAAATATATGTTTCTAAAATAATGTGGCTCAAACACACCCTTAATGTTGATATATGGTTGACTTTATTTTTAATATTTTGATCATAACAAATAAGTTAATTTTGGTTCTAACAATTAAATTTAAGTCTTTGAAGCATTCAATGTCATATTGATCGATCGAGGACAAAACGATCGCTATTACTACTTTCACATTACAAATCGGACTCACAATAAAGAAAGTCGAGCATTCAAATCAAATCATTCGAGATATGAGCTACAAAAATCAAATGTCAAAGGAAGCTCAATATATAAGATGTTTCTTTATTTATTTGTAAAGGTATAGCAGTTCAAATTCTTAGCAATAAATGACCAAAGCTCAAAAATCATTTTTACGCGTTAAAAGCAAAATTATCATCACTTAAAATTATCTCTTATCAAAAGCAAAATTGATTTTCATAATTGAGCTTGTATCATAATTTGAAAAACACCATTCAATAGGCTTACATCGTTCAAAAAAATTCACATCGATCAAACAAAGTCAAAAGCGGACTAAACTGCAGACGTCATGATCAAGTAGTGGATGTTCGAATCGTTCATGCGAATGTTCGGTTCATGTAACGGTCACTTTTCTTACGGTTTTAATGTGTGGTACACAACTGATATTGTCATATGTCTGGTTGCTTGTTCGGTTCCAGAGATATTTTTACTCATTGAACTCTATAAATACATTCACTTTTTGCATTTGTTGTGAGACTTTTCGAGATAATTAAAGTGACATATATTTTAGCAAACTCATATTGATATTGCATCTTATTTATTATCAAACTATTTATTGTGAAAACATTCGATTTATTGAATCAAGTTCTTTATTTATCTTCATCAGCAAAATTTTCTAACTAACACTTGAGCTTTCATTTATTGTTATTCATTAAAGTATTAGCATATTTCTATCTTAGTTCTTAATTTGTTTATATCAATTATTAAGACGGAAATTTGAAATTATAAAATCAATTTTCTTCAAATTTGTGGGTCATATTAAGGTCTCTAGAAAGCTCAATAGTTTGGGTGACATTAAGTTCTCGTAAAGTATAATATTGTATAAATATGAGTACTCCTTGTTTATAGGCTACTGGAAGTTTTGTGAGGTTTTGAATTGTGCATAAGTCAATCAAAATTAGTGAAAAAGCCTTGCTCGCTACAGAGAGTAAATGGAGGATATAGATCACTGCTTTAGATCGAACCTCCACGATTCGTTTGCATAATCTTTTCCCTTTTATTAATCGTTTTTATATTTATGTATAATTATTTGATTGCTTTTATATATTCATAATGTGTTTAAATTTGGAAAAATTTCTCAAAAAAGTTTTGAAAACTAATTCACCCCCTCATAGTTATTCTTGGGATGTCAATTGGTATTAGAGTGAGGTGCTCATTTTTAAATATTTCACAATCTTGAATAATTACTAGCCACAATTTTCAAATCATTGAAGGGTATTCTATAAATTGTCCTCCCTTTTTTATGGCATACATTATAATTTTTGAAAAACTAAAATGATATTTTATGTTCAATCTATAAATTATAATGTTGGGAAGTAATGGAATTTTGTCCTTACATTTTTAAAAAGGTTATCAAATGGCATGGTAAATCTGATCAAATAGTTTCTAAACCTAAAGAGGAATATGATGAGGAAAATAAAAGAAAATTATCATTGAATGTTAAAACCAAAAAATACGTCATTGTACCTTAGATAAGAATGAATTTAATCACATTAGCACATGTGTTTCTACTTTTAATATATGACATGTTTTATAAGTTACACACTTGGGTACTAGCAAAGTGAAAGAAACTAAGATTAATCTTTTGGTTAAAGAATTTGAAAACTTTTTGTGAAACAAAATGAACCTATTGTCGATATAATTACTCACTTCACTAATATTGTTAATGACCTTACAGGCTTTGGTCATAAATTTAATAATGTGGGCTTGGAAGTAAAATGTTTAGGTCACTATCGGAAGATTGGAACTCATTAAAGATGTTGATAGAGAATACCAAAGATGTCAACTTGTATCCATTCGAAAAACTTTATGAAACTTTGATGACTTATGTGCTCAATAACGTCGAAACTAAGGAGAAAATGAGGAAAAGCAAAGAAGAATCAAAGGAGCCTGATAAGTGCTAAATTGTTTTAAAATCGGTAATTGATGAATGAACTACAAGTGAAAACATGAGTAATAAAGAGCTCGATAATCTAATTCTTCTTGTTAAGAAATTAAGAAAATTTCACAATAATAGGAGATTTCAAAAGAAAAAAAGAAAAGAGTGAAGCAAGAAGATCATTTGCTATGATTATGAGAAACCCGGTCACAAGAAAATTGAGTGCCTAAACAAAAAAAGAAGTATAAAGCAAAATGCACTTCAAGCAATATGGGATGAGACTAATGATGAAGATTACGATGATAATGAAAGTAAAAAAAAAAAAAAAAAGTTGCCAACATGTGCTTCATAACAATCGAAGATGAGGTAAACTCTATTGAAAAATGTTCATATCCATCTATCATTCATGATGAGACTTTCGAGGAAATTGAAAAACTTGCTTTAAATCACTTCTTAAAAAGAAACTTGCTCCATTGAAAAATGAAGTAAAGAAAATTCTAGAAACTCAAAAGGACTTCGAGAATGAAAGGTTGATAAAAATTCTTTGATTAAAAAAAAAGAAATTCCTCTTTAATTTTTTTTTTTAAAGATTCAACTAAGATCATTTACAAGTTCACTCAAGATAAGAAAAAAATTAACTTAATATTTGGTAAAAAAAATGTCTCTAA